TGAGTTTTTTGAAGATATTTTTAAGGATACAAACTTAGCAATTTTTTGGTTGAATGTTTGGTATAATTTAGATTTTGCTTAAAACTATGTATGGCTAATTTTTCCATGATCAATATTGGGTGAAAATCCTTGAACAACTAGTTATGTTTGGATATGTTATGGGTTTCAGTTTAAATCCATGAATGCAACATTTATTTGAACTTTTGTTCTTATGTTTTTACTCAAGCTTTTGATTTCAAATGTTTGAATGACTATTGTTATTTGTTTTTATCAATAATGTACTTGATTTTAAAAACAAACAAGTGACAAATAATCTTAAGTGGTTGCTTACAACCCTATTTTTTGTCCTATGTTTGTGTTCTTTAAACTAGAATTTTTAAGTTTTGGGGTTTTCTTTAGACGTGGTGATTACTAAATCATAATGTTTGTTAAAATATATGAACTAAATGCTTATTTGGATTGTGAATTTAATTAAGACATATTATTAAGTAAGAGCTTCTCTAGCTAGTTTCAATACAATTTAGGGTTTAGGGTTTAGATGATTTATGTTTTTGAATTGACATAGACAAGTTGGAATGAATTAAAACCATTTCATCATAAACCATAATGAGAAACTAACTAGTTCACCTTGTGATTGAAAGCAAAATATTTATTACCTTTTTATTATTGAATCACTGTAGTGGAATTTTACTCAAACTAGATATTACTTTCTTGTTTAGTTTAAAATTCAACAAATAAACAAACAATCCCCCTTTTTTATAGGATCAACTTTTACAAAAAGATTTGCATAGATTAAAAATTGAGCCACTCTCAATGGACTCTACCCTTATTACCATTACTCAGGAGATAGATATATATATATATATATATATAGATATATATATAATATATATATTCATATATCTATATATATATATATATATATATATATATATTACAAAATAGCCTAACAAAACCTATAATATTTATGACCGACCATTTCTCCATGAATATTGCATTGCCAACATAGAACAAATGAGTAAGGTCTTTCACCATATTATCGATATTTACCACTTCAATAACATTCTTTGCTAATTCATTCTCATTGAATTTGACACATGTTAACTTTTGGGATTTTTAGCATTTTTCATTTCCAGTTGTCATTTTCTTGTATTTTACATTTTCATTTAATTGCCACATCATTATTTTCATTAATGGCAATGCCAATGACTATTGTAAATCCGTTCATTCCTTCTTTATTTTGTTAAATATAATGTGCTATTTACATGAGTTTACACTGTCTAATTACAATGATTTATATAAATTTTTTTAAATAAACTCATATAATATACAAATCTCATACCTAGTGATATCAAGAGGAAATGAGAAACTAGGTCTCCTTGCCTTAAATCCGTCGAAGGTCTAACCTCTCCCTTGGAAGAGCCATTGATGAGAATCGAAGTGTAACCGGATCATAAACAATCTCTCATCCAAAATCTCCATTTTCTCTGATGTCTTTCCCTCCCAAATCTAATATTGTCTCATCATAAAAAAGAATCTTGATCACCTCTGTCTTCTCACTAGGAACACATGTCTTTTCCTCCTTTTTTTTTCTTTTTTTTCTTTACTCCATCTGATAATATCATTGAGAACTTGTAGCTTCCTCTTAATATAGCTTAGTTTATTTGAATCCTATAGATTAAAATTGTTGTTCCAACACTAATTCTCTAACCCCTCAAACTCTTTATCTTCATGTCAGGAATTAAACAATTTCAATGAAACTGGTCCAAAATCAACTCCTAATTCTTTGGCAATGGACACTTATCCAAAAGTTATTTTAGGAGAACAAAAGCAACAATATCCCCGAACGTATTAAGAAGCTTGTGGTTTACCAAGAACCTGTCGAGATTGATTAATTTATTATCAGCCTTATTGGACCTTGTATACCGTCTCCCTCCTAATTACATCTCCTCAAGATGACAGTGTAAAAAACGTAGATGATTGTGTCATTCATCTAAGGTCATTCGGTATACCCATAACTTGACCACTAAAAAGGTGTTGTCATCTAAGCGTATAATCATCACCACTATCATACCACTTTGCACTTATTGGTATACCTACCACTACACATCATGAAAATAATTTTTGTTGTTTTTTAATTAAGAAAATTATACATTTTTTATTTAACTGAATGAAATAAAACACTAGATTTTCAATAATATATAATATTACATAGATTAAAACAAAAATCAAATAAAAAAAAATCAAACATAGAAAAAAGGTACCTTAATTTAAATAAAAAAATATACTTAGTACAAAAGTCATTTTAATCTTCAAAACCATCTTGGAGAATTGTGCATCTCAAACCAAGCATTGATATAGGAAAATGGTTTATGGTTAAGTTGGAATACTTGGTATTGTCTCAACGTCGCATCAATTACCTCGGAGTCATTACTCGTATTTGGATTTGTGGTTTTGAGTGCCTTGTAAATGTGGTTAAACTCGGTTACTTTTGGCCTCATATCACGACATTTTGACGAAAGTTCATTGAGATCCCGATAAACACCTTGTCCCATATCGCCGTGGAAGTGGTTTCTAATAGATTGCCAAAAGGTTTTCCTTCTATTTATGGAGTTATCGGAATCCAATTATGAGCTACGAGGTTTCTTCATTTTCCTCCAAAGTTGTTTGGTTTGGATGTTTGATGGTTGTGGATATTGTCGTGGTAGGTAGTAAGAAATTATATGTGAATATATTTTTAGTTTGTTTAGTAGAGAAAGAAAAAATATTGTGAAATAGTTTGTAGCATAATAAGTATATTTTTAGTTGAAATGTAGGTAATGTTTAAAATTACATGCGTTTCTACTTAGAATAAATGCACATTAATTCGTTTGTTGCTACTCTGGTATATAGAACGCAACACCACAGTCGTTGTGGCTGAGCTGGTGTGCACGACCGTGATGGTTGTGCACCTAGCCCCAGAAGGGGTTCGTGAGAAGCATACGTCACGGCCTAAGGAAGATGAGAAGTTTATGGAGCCTCTAAGGGTGTGTTTGGGATTGCTTTTTAAACATAAAAGTCATTTTTATAGAAGGACTTTTTATAAAAGAACTTTTTTTAAAAGATGATGTTTAAAATGTGTTTGACTTGTTTTGTATGACTTTTAAGTGATAAAAGCTAAAAGTCACAAAAAGATAAGAATTCTTATCTTTTCTCCCACCAACTTTTTCTTCTTGACTAAAAGTTGATTTTAAAAGATCTTTTCAAATTGTCAAACAACTTTTACTAATTTTTAACTTTTTGAAAAAGTTAAAAGTAAAAAAGATGATTAAAAAGGAATTCCCAAACACGGCCTAAATAACCTAGCTCCACATTTCTTTTAGTATAATAGAAAACATTAATGTCCATCACTTAGGGTTATATCATCAAATTATTGACATTGTGAAGTAGAACAAAATATTAAAGCTACATGAGGTATCTCATTGTGTACTATTGTAAGCGTTTTCCATCAAGAAATAAGTTTTAGATCCCTGCGCGTGAATCTACAAGTGTCTTTTCACAAAAAAAAAAAAAAAAAAAAAAATAAAATAAAAAAAAAAAAAAAGAATAAAAAACACTATTTAAGAAATCGAGCCTAACATAAAATAGTTTCAAGAGGAGCTCAACGAAACAACCCATAGTGCTAGAAGAATGAGTGATGATAGGACAGAATAATATAACATATAGAGAGGGTGAGCGACTATTATATACCGTTATAAATTCTACGAAGAAAAGTTCTCAGAACGCCCTTGCATTAATTGATCTGCTTTGCCTTTAGTTTCTTGCTAAATAGTGCATGCGTATTTATGAAGTAAAAACTAATGAATTTGGTGAATAGTTGGTAACTTTCTATGAAGTAAACCATCGATGAGAATGCAGATAAGAATAAAGTTCACACCACATCAAAATACACAGACCTTAATCAATTAGTAGTGTTATGAACGATCGAGCTAGGAAAATATATAACGCATGCCAAGGTAAATTGTTGTGGAATCTTCTAATTAATGTGCTTTTAAAACTATAGATAAGAACAAAGACTAATCTTAAACCCGATAGGAGTCTCACTACAATCCAAAGTAGTGTTATGAACGAGCTAGGCATAAAATGACAGCATTGCCTGGTTGCATGGATGTGGACGAGTACTCTGAGATAATATAATATATCGATATATAGGAGCTATATATATATATATATATATATTAGATCTAATATATATAGATATAATATATATAATATATATATATATTATATATATATATATATATATATATATAGATATATTAAATTAATTAATATTTTATTTTTATAGGACTGAAATTCTGGCTTTCGTTTGTTTTTGTTTGTTTTCATAATTTTTTTTTTATTTTAAATTTGTTTTCAGGTTGGAGGGATTCTGATGTTTCAAATTAATTAATATGTCAAGCAATCAGACAGCTCTAAGATTTAAGTCCAATTTAAGGATGGGTTATATTAACATGGTCATCCATAGGGGGCACAAAATCCTAGCGAATCCAAAAAGGGCCAAAACAAAATATAAAGTAGACATTTGAACCAGAAATATTAATTTAAACACCATTCGTAAACAGTATTTTGCATGATGAGAGAGAGAGAGAGAGAGAGAGAGAGAGAGAGAGAGAGAGAGAGAGAGAGAGAGAGAGAGAGAGAGTGGAGAGAGCGGAGAGAGGAGAGAGAGAGAGACGAGAGAAAGAGAGAGAGAGAGAGAGAGTTGTCGAACTTGATCATGCCTTCGTCTATACTTTGGAGGATTTACTATATAGAGTGTCCTTAAAAGTTTTAACATCAAAATTAGGGTTTTTGGTTCAAGGGTTTTTAGGGTTCTCACTGAAAATATTTCATATATGTAACTAATTTAGATAAAAGATGGTTCCAAGTCACCATGTAACTAGAAAATATTTCATATATGTAATCAAACTATAAAGAGACTTACCATTTGGCGTGGTGAAAACGAGATTGGAGAAAGTTCAAGTAGCCTGTAGCTTGGAAGCCTTCACTTCTTCATTGGCCTTTATTTGACTTTTCCTCTTCTTCTTCTTCTTGTATGGGATTCCCCTAGCTTTAGCTTGACACTCCTTCACTTCTCTTAAATAAACCCGAATTGCTCCATTTCCAAATGGATTTTTCTCAGGAGGGCCGCCGTTCTCTTCATAGGCAGCTCTTAATCGCCCGATCAGCGCGTCTAGACTGCCCCAAGCCTGCCTTAGAGGGCAAGTGCAAGGAGCAGGAGGTTCAGGCTGCCCAAAGAAAACACACCCATGTAAATGAACCTTAGTTTTTCCAAATTGATCAAGGTATCGAAGGAATTCCAGAACATGGCTAAAGTTGCACTGCGAAAGAGATACAGGAGGTCTTTGATTCTTTAGATACTGCCCAAAAGTGTTCCAGTCTCGTCGTTTTTGGGATTCATAACGGCTTAAGGGTGCAGGATGGTGGCTCTGATCAACGGTTGTAGATCGGGAGGACCCTTCTGATGGATCTTTTGGTATGTTACTTGACATGAAGATGCGTTTGGATGAGAAAATTCTTATGTGATTTTTGGGAAAAATGGATGATCCAATGTGAATAATAGTAAAATAAAAGTGGGTAGAGAAGGAAGAGAAAAAAAGATGAATATCACATATTGAGTCTACGATTGAGGAGACATGTCATGGGTCCCTCTAGTGAAACTTTTTTCCCTCTATCTTTTTCATTTTAATTTCTTCCTCCAAGGCATTATAAGCACTAACCATTACTTTAATTTTAATTCTAGTCTACCTATTAAAATATATGAAAGTAGGGTATGCATAGTTATCATGACATTTTATTTGCATCATAGATAACAGTGTGTATGATGTCTCCATGATCAATAGTCGGTGGGTAAAATCCTGTAATATAGAGGAAAATTTTACAATAACATCATATGATCATATATTATATATGAATTAACTATGAGACAAATTTCAATACGGACCCGTGTGACTCCCAAGTAACAGTTAACGGTGCAACAGGAGTGTCGACGAGGATCATTAGCGCTACAACAGATCTTGGTGATCTTAACTTACAAGTACAGAACCCGAAAAGAATGGAAGGCTCTTTCGCTCTGCTGCATGCGTCGGATCCCATAGAGCGTCTTTGATTGAAATTCCATTTGCACCGGTCGACTTCTCAATTGGTAGACTTTCAAAGGTTGTTTCCTCAACGAGAGCTGAGTTACTGTAAAGAGTTATTAATATTGGGTTTGGCGTTGGAACACTTAGAAATCTTGGTTTTTGTAACAAAACGTATTTTATGAGGATTGTTACTTTCCTTCATTGGATACTACCATAGGATTGAGAACATAGCTAGATAGTTGAACCTTCCACAAGCAACTGGTCAAACATAAGGACAATTTTATTTCCAACATTACCAATAATTCTACTTCCCTTAAAATATAAAGAACACATATTATATTAAAATAAGATGATGATATGAATGAATGAATTAAATAAAAGTATGTATACACCTCTTCATCCAATAAATATTCGTACTATAACATATTATTTTTGTTATTCATCTTGACCAATAAGACTTGCATTTATCATAAAATTTGTGGTCAAATGAATTTAATCTCATCCAATTGGATATTTAATAATGCAATTATCATCTAAATGTTCAAGAAGACGGTTCAAAAATAATATTTCAAATATTTGAATCGGCTTTAAACCATTGTTTAATAGATTTTATGACTTTTTTTTTAACCATGTTAAAATGTTCCACATTTAAATAAGGCAGAACAATCTCATGAAATATTATATAAACAATTCGACTCATAAGACAATAGACTACACATTTAGAGATAACGAGTTGTCTTTTGATCCTATGAATAGCAACAAAGTGTAACAACTTAATCTTCGTGGAGTTTTTTCCATTCTTTAAAATTGGGGGGGGGGGGGGGGGGGGGGGGGGGGGAAGAATGTGGCCAAGCTGGAAGGCATTAATCACATTTGTTGAAAATCTAAAAATTTGGAATTTATCGGAATTCAGCTAGTTGATGAGAAAATTTTTCGAAAGGTTGTTCGAATGTTTCAATTGCTTTCATTGCTTCTGGAGTGATTTCGTTGTCTGTTAAAGAGTAGATAATGAAAGTTTTTACTAGCATTATTACTCTGATTCTTGACCCTTTGATATTTACCGTTGCCAATGCGTGATGATGCTAAATAAACACCCGGCAAGTGCAAAGCTTAGATGCTCTTGTGTTAGTGATTACGGGGTAGATCATCTTTTGTTGGTTTTTGAGCCGTTGCTTATTCTCATGTTTGCAAAAGTAATACTTGGGACAATTAGTTGAGAATCTTCATCAAAAATTGGGTAGCTAGAATGCATTTTGATGAATAATCCTCTTTTCTTGTTTTGCAAAGCGTATTTTATAATTTCTGATGATAGTTTGCACAGCAGAGGGGAATTCGCTGATGCAGTGTAAATTGGTGCCTTCTAGATAGATAGTGTCGATGAATCCATGAATAAAATAATCCCATAAAGTCATAGGATCTGATAAATCGGCTAGGAAAATGCTTCAGGGCCTGGGCGCCTGCTACTGGGTAAAAGCCCATTAAAGAATGGACCTCGGTGTAGGAAACGAGGCTATCCCCTAATTCAGCGGAATTTTTGGCAGATGGTTTTTTCATGGCTTCCTTTTCTTTGGTTGATGATAGAATGGATTCAAGGGCAATTTTTTGCATTTAATTGGTTAAGGGATTTGGGATGGATACAGGTTTTGTGGTGTGGAAGCTGGTCATAGGTTTTTGTGGATGTTTGTTAGGAGAACTGTTTTTGAACATTCTACGTTATCTTTTATTACTGCTTGTTGCTTCGTTGTATGCGCTTGGCTTCTGCTTATTTTTTGTTTTGTAACTTTTGTGAATAATATTTATTCCAAGAATATATGAACTGGCAATTCCCCAATTGTCATATACTCCTTTGTTTTCTCCGTTGAAAATCACGTACCATTTCTTTATATTTTGATCTGCTTGAAGTGGTGGATATTCTTCTGGATTTTGTATTATAGGTTGTTTTTCTGACTTGAGCATTGTTTGTGGCTGACTATCATCATTGTTTCGGTTTCATCAAGAGATGAAAGGAAACGATATGCGTTACCTTGTGTTTTATGAATGATATAATTAAGAAAGTGTTTTGGGTGTAAATTTCTTAATTCTTCGGTTAACTGAATTTGTACTCCCATTTTATTACTCCATTCTTGAATTTTTGCTTCAGGATTTTGGTCACAATCAATAAAAAGAATATCTGAATTTGTTGGAAATGTAAATAATTTAGGTATGTATTGAGGAGGTATTTTTTCCCATTTGTTTTGTTTATTTTTAACCATTCCTTGTCTATATAAAAA